CTGGGACTACAGGTGCCCGCCACAACACCTGGCCATTTTTTGGTTGCAGCCATCATTGTTGTTTGGCGGGCCTGGGCTGGGGATTCGAACCCTCCACCTTAGGTGTATGTGGCTGGCACCTTAGCCGCTTGAGCCACAGGCACCGAGCCAGAAATTGTATTTTAAGTATAGCAATGCCTGGCATATCCTTGTCCTAGTAATCATAATGGCTACATTTATTGAGCAGACACTGTTACTCTATTAAATACTTTACAAAGATCAAGTTAAGCCTCACACCACCCTATGAATATAATGTTTTCCCTTTTTGGCAGTCCTGGTCCTCTTGAAGCTTATATTCACTTAACACAGAAGCAAATGCATCCTAAGATACAAAATTTTATAAAAAGACTCATTGTGTTAATTCTAATTTCTAAAGTAAATAAAGTTGTTAAAACAAAAGGAAAACTTTTTCCTTTACAATAGAAAACAATCACACTAGTAAGTGTCCTCTTATTTTGCAGATTTATGGATTCAAAGGGCAAAGAAAAACCATTCTAAAGCCTTTCAACTTGCAGATAAACTAAACTGGGGGCTTGTCTGAGGTCACCAGGAAAGTTAGAGGCAGAGCTAGTACTGAGACTCTGGTTCAGTGGAGTGTAACACACTGCATCCTGTTCTTTCTTCCTATGCCTAGGAATCAGGCAAAAGTTCCCACTTTGATTATACCTGTTCTATGCACATCTATGATACTTCTCTCTCACTGAATGTCAAACAAATATCATTTTAGTTTCTCTTATCTACCGAAATAGAACAGGCTAGAATTTCATGGAACATACACAATAAATTTGTAATAAACAACATAATTAAACAAAGGGGTAGTAAACCAGGACATTCACCGTGTTCCTTAAAAGTCTGGATGCAAATGCTTTTAGAACAGTCTGACTGCCCTCCCAATTACTGTGTTATAGCTCCTGCTTAACTCTGTTAAGTCGCCTGTCTAGCCTTAACTGTCCTGTGAGTCAATGTGCAATTTTCATGGCACTGGAAGCACCAAACACACCAGAACCTAAGCCAACTCACACAATCCCGAAAGGTCAATCAATACTGACCACTGCCCCCAAAACCCTTCTTGTGGATGACGAGTTTGTAGACCTTAGTTGTTCTCATTTTGCACTGTTGTTTCCTTCAGCTGTTCCAAGTTTGGGGCAGAGACGTCATCTTGCCTCCCTACCACTGAAACAGAAACAAAAAGGTTGAAATGTCACACTTTTCCTTGCAACTGCTCTTTGATTTTTTTAGGCCAGTGAAGATACTGGTGTTGCTCAGCTGAAATGTGGTGCCTAGTGGCTCTTGGATGAAGTCACTCCTCCAATTACAAGCAAGGAGGGAGAACAAACACAATAGGGTAAATAAGGGGAATCTGAGCTAGGGTCTAACGTCAAACCTCAGAAAAGATAGATTCTATTTCTACAATTCATTCGTAGCGAATGAGCGCTCAATATCTTGTTTCCACCTACGTCAAACACTCCAATATTAAAGACATCTTAAAGGAAATTAGTCCACTCATTTTGCACATGGGCAAAGTGAGAGCAAGGGACTTGCACAAGGTCACTCCGAGACGCTCCTACCGTTCGCGTTTCGCCACCAATGTCCTGGGAAAGGCGACTACAAAGAGGAAGGCAGAGGTCCTTCCCCCAACCTCCACCTGTACCACTCTCAGCGGACCTTTCCGCCTCCGTTCCACAGTTGAAGCCGCTGAGATTCAGAGAGGGAGAGAGACTTGTACAAGGTCACACAGCGGGTTCGAGGCAGAGCTGGGACTCGAACCTCTGCCACCAGTCCCCTACCTCAATCCCCCAAGCGCCAGTCCCGGGCGGACAGCCTCACTCATTCGCCGTTCTGGAGCCCCTACCCGTCTCAGGCCCGGGCCTCTGGGCCCGGACTCTCTCCAGGTCCCCCGTGCCTCCCGTGGACACCCGACTTGAGCCTCCACGGCCTGCACAGCTTCCGTCCCTGAGCTTGAGGTGCCGGCAGGCCCGCCCCGGCCGCGGAGCACTGGCTCACCTGAGAGCCCGCGCCGCTCCGGTAGCTCCGCCCTGGGGGCCCCGCCCCCTTCCCGCCCCCGCGCCCCGGGCCTCTCTCTCCCGGCCTCCGCCGTCTCGGTGGCCCCGCCACTTCCTCATCCGGGGCTCGCGGCGGGGCGGAACTTCGGGGGGCGCCTCTCAACCCTCTCTCAGGCGTTTCCTGCTTGCAGGCCTTTAGGAGGCCTACTTTGCTGAGGATATCCATTTCCCCTTACACAACCCGAAATATCCCACAGAGCTCTTTTTGTTTGTGTATAAACGAGGTTAATAACTCTTACTTGGCCTCACGGGGGACACTGAGAGTCGCAAAAAAGTGTTTCTAGGAGAACTTTGGTGACACGCAAAGGGCTGAGTTACGAGAGTTGGTGTGATGGCCCTTGCTAGGAAGTGTCCACTTTGGGGCCTTTTCGAACCCTTTCAAACTCCAAAAGATAATCTCCCTCCTTGTGTTATTAATAGCAATAGCCAGCATGGCTCTGCAGATGAGGTGCTGTAATCCTTGCATAACTATGAGGTGGTAGGTATGGGTGGCAGGTGCTGTCCTGCTTCACAGCCAGGAAGCAGCCTGAGTACAGGAAACTGCTCGGAAGGAAACAAGGACGATCTCGACACACTGTGCCTTTAGTGTCCACATGTCACACCCAGGGCTCAGCCTAAGCCCCCATCTGTCGGGATAGCTCTCTCCTGGAGGAGCTGGGTGGATTGTGCCAGAATCAGACCAAAGACCCCTGACAAGTTGCCAGCTCCACCTGGGATCCAGGATACCGGATTTTTTGGTTTGGTTTTTTGGTTTTTTTCCAATCCTGGATGGCTGCACCTGTATGGGCCTCCCTGCTTCCATTGCAGTCTGAGAGACCTTTTTATAACTGGGATCAGTGTTTTCAGTCAAGCCACTCCCTGCTGCTTCTAGCCACCCTGACCACTAAATCTAAATGGCACCCCTGCTTCTGGATGGTGATAATGCTTCCTCTGAATTTCTTCATAGCTTTAACACCAAACAGTGCCAGTTTCCTGTGGTTTTCTGAATGGATGAATACAACATGGTACCGGAGTGAGGTGACTTGGCAGTGCTGCGAGGGGACTCCTGGATCAGGTCATAGATTCTTCCACTTTAGGAGTCATGAAGTTAATTTAATGATTTAAGTAGTATTTGTATTGAAGAAAAACAAATATATAATCACATGAACTGCAACAGTTACCAAACTTTTACAAGGATAAAAATGTTCAATGTAGGGCGGCGCCTGTGGCTCAGTGGGTAGGGTGCTGGCCCCATATACCGAGGGTGGTGGATTCAAACCTGGCCCCAGCCGAACTGCAACAAAAAAATAGCCAGGTGTTGTGGCGGGCGTCTGTTGTCCCAGCTACTGGGGAGGCTGAGGCAAGAGAATCACCTAAGTCCAAGAGCTAGAAGTTGTTATGAGCTGTGACGCCACAGCACTCTACCAAGGGCAACAAAGTGAGATTCTGTCTCAAAAAAAAAAAATTCAATGTAAAAAAACTTGTCTGTTGCCACTTCTGGAAACACACCCAGATCCAACGCTGGTTTCTGTCTTTAGCAGCTGTGGTTGATCCAAGTACCACCATTTCAGAGGGAGCTAATAGGATTCTCTCCTCTTGGCTTTCTGATTCCTTCTAACAGGTCCACGATTGGTGTCTTATATTAGAAATGCACAGCTTGGTGCCTGTGGCTCAAGTGGCTAAGGCACCAGTCACATACACCTAAGCTGGTGGGTACGAATCCAGCCCGGGCCACCAACAACAATGACGGCTGCATCCAAAAAATAGCCAGGTGGCTCAGCGCCTGTGGCTCAAGCAGCTAAGAAGCCAGCCATGTACACCTAAGTTGGTGGGTTCGAATCCAGCCCAGGCCCGCCAAACAACAATGACGGCTGCAACCAAAAAATAGCCAGGCGTTGTGGTGGGCACCTGTGGTCCCAGCTACTTGGGAGGCAGAGGCAGGAGACTCGCATGAGCCCAGGAGTTGGAGATTGCTGTGAGCTGTGATGCCATGGCACTCTACGCAGGGGGACAGCTTGGGGCTCTGTCTCAAAAAAAAAAAAATTTTCTATTTCAGATATTTCTGGTGGCTCCCGTAGCTCAGTGGGTAGGGCACCAGCCACGTATGCCCAGGCTGGTGGGTTCCAGCTCAGCCTGGGTCAGCTAAACAACGACAGCTGCAACAAAAAAATAGCTGGGGGCTGTGCCTGTGGCTCAGTGGGTAGGGCACCGGCTGCATATACCGAGGGTGGCAAGTTCAAACCCAGCTCCGGCCAAACTGTAACCAAAAAATAGCCGGGTGTTGTGGTCCCAGCTACTCGGGAGGCTGAGGCAAGAGAATCGCCTAAGCCCAGGAGCTGGAGGTTACTGTGAGCTGTGCGACACTATGACACTCTACCAAGGGCAATAAAGTGAGACTCTGTCGCTACAAAAAAAAAAAATAGCCAGGTGTGTGGCAGGCGCCTGTAGTCCTACCTACTTGAGAGGCTGAGGCAAGAGAATCACTTAAGCCCAAGAGCTGGAGGTTGCTGTGAGCTATGACAACATAGCACTCTATCAGGGGCAACCTAATGAGAACTCTGTTTCAAAAAGAAAAAAAATTATGAACAATCATTTTTTTT